GTATACAATGGGGCTGCCTTTTTAAACAATCCAGAAATGTTAGCCAGACCAAACAGAACAACAAAGTTATCAATGGGGATTATTACGTATATGTGATCCATTTATTCATATGGTTTGTCAGCTGTACTGGCTTATTTATTCCTGAACCCAATTAGAAATGCTAGCATTAACCTTTGAAGCCATAAACAGTGATGGAACAGTCTACCTGTAGGACCATATCCTCCCATTTATGGCACTCTAGAGCAGAGGTGCATTTCATCTTGGGCTGCATCGGCATTATGGTTGCCCTCAAAGGGCCAGTTGTATCTGTAAGACTATATAAATGTATCTACTCTTTATCATATTAAATATATTCCTCCTCATTTGATTATGACTGGTTTTAGTAATAATGTAAGGAACAACTAGCTCTGAAAGTAAAGGTCTATGATCAAAGTTTAGAAATACTGTAATGGCAAGTGGATAAGAATGGGAGTGGGCAATAGTGAGGACTACATTTCCCAAGTTGCTGTACGCTGCCCAAGAGGCTGCAGTTCCTGACTATTCACTGCTCTTCGAATGCTGGGATTAGAAGTCCCACTGGGCAGATTCCCAGCATCCTTGTGGAGCATATTGTATACTGCACAGTAGCAGGCAACACTGTGAGGCCACATGAAACAACCGGGTGGGCCGGATTCGGCCTGCGGGCATTGAGTTTGACACGTGCTCTAGAGCAGTGGTCCCCAACCTTGGGCCTCCAGATGTTCTTGGACTACAACTCCCAGAAGCCTTCACCACCACCTCTGCTAGCCAGGATTTCTGGGAGTTGAAGACCAAGAACATCTGGAGGCCCAAGGTTGGGGACCACTGCTCTAGAGTATACGGTCATTTCTTGAGGCCCTACCACATCAGGTAGGCAGGTACCTCTTTGAGTGGTGGCACCCCACATTGATGGTGACATCCTGCCATCTTTGGAGGGGTTCATATATGGCAATCTTTTTAGAACTAGCCTTTTAAGGAAATGTTTTAAAAGTTCATTTATCTTCTATGGATGTGCATGTGTGTGCTTTTGAAATTCTATTTTAGATTCTTTATGTTGTTCTATTTTATATGTTTAAACTTCGTAATAAACTGCCTAGAGAACTATGGCTTTTGAGCCATATAGGAGTAGAATAAACATGTGATTCCAAGTCCCTTTAACTGCTTTCAGTTCTTTATATAGTGGGAGCTATATCACATTCTCCATTATCTGCTGACATGCAGGTTCCTGTAAATGTATCTTCATCCCTAATGAACTAACTCTACTCCCAGATGATCTCCTGGGCGTCCTTTCTTTTAGAAGTAAAGCTAATGTAAATTGTGGAGAACTCCTTATATAGGGTGCTCTTCCTGCCAGCCAAATCAGTCAGGGCTTGGCATTTCTGCAACAAGAGATTATGTAGATGGGCCACTGGACAAGTGGGTTCAATATCACAATTAGCGTGCATGTGGTGGACAGGTAGACACATTCCCTAGAGCTTATCCATGTGCAGCGCTGGAGTCCTTTGCCATAGAATAGCAGGAAATTTTGGAGTGCAACACTCACCACAATCAGGCCTATAACTGCACCCTCAAGGAGAGTCTTTAAAAATGCAGGCAGCTGTATATTCTAACCATTTTCATCTCTACTACAAATGGGTCTCTTATGAAGCTGTTCTTCATAAAACCTCAATTCCACATTTGAAATCAAGCCATCGACTTTGAAGAAGAATAGGGATCTGGGTAGTGCTCTGTGCCATGCCCCAGCTTCAGTAAGAAATGTAGCTGAGCCCAGAAGGAATTGTGGAACTTGAAGGGAGTGATGGGTGATATCATCATCTTTATTAATTGTTGAAAAGTCTGGGGCTTTGGCCCTGTGTATCCTGGCTCCACTCTACTACTGGCCAGAACATTTTTGCCTCTTTTTGCCTGTAGCTCAGCAATTCAGTTGCTTCCACAGCTGAGGTTTATTTAACATCTGACTGTGAGAAGATATGATCTCATTTTAAGACCAGAGCATTATGCAGATGTTAATTGTATTAAAAGGTTTATGGGGATAGTAGAAAAAAACAAAACAAGGACATAAAGGATGAAACTTGATAATAAGAGTAGCTGTTTAAGGGTCTGAGATGGACCACTGCCTAAAGAGCCTTCAACCTCAATAGTATTTTTCCTCATGACAGCTCTGTCAGCTTCTGTCAGATATAAAGACAAATGAATGGGAGGATGAGTGTATGATTGGACCAGAATATAAATGCATACAAAATTTTGAAGATTAAAATTCAGGTGGGATTAAACATGACTTTAGTAGCTGTACACATTCTGTTCTGTGTATATTTAATCAGGAGTAAGGCCCTTTGAACACCATGGGACTTACTTCTGTGAAAAGATTCTTAATTGCACTATATAAGTACAGTTCTGAGTAAATGTATCAGGCAGTGGGTTACATTGAAAATAGTGTGTTGCTTTCAAGTAGGCATGCATAGGATGGGGCTGTTAAGGGTGGCATAAGAGCCTGGAAAAATTACCGTATTTTTTTATGTATAAGATGCCACCATATATAAGACACCCCCCTCCACTTTTCTAACCCCAAATTAAGAAATCTAAGTGAGGCTTAACAAGTGTAAGGGGGAAGGGATCAGAGCACTGCAGGATCACTTTGATCCCTGCTTTCTCCCTTCATGCTAAGCCCTACGGGGCTTAGCAAAAAGAGGGGGAAAGGGATCAAAGCAATCCTGCCACTGCACGATCATTTTGATCCCTTTCCCCTTTATACAGCCACAGGATTGCATTTATCCTTTCCCCCCTCCTTTTGCTAAGCCCCATGGGACTTAATAAGCAGAGGGGAAAGCAGAGATCAAAGCCATCCTGCAGTGCTTTGATCCCTGCTTTCCTTTTGGTAAGGCTTAGCAAGTGGAGAGGAAAGCAGGGATCAAAACCCTGCAGGATCACTTTGATCCCTGCTTTCCCCTCCACTTGTGTTTGTTCTCTCCTCAGCTTACTTCCGTGTATAAGTTTTAGACGAAAGTATAGTCTTATACATGGAAAATATGGTACATTTTGGCAGCAGTAACCTATTCTATGGAACTGCACTGGAAATGCTGCATTGTGCCAGCTGTTCAACCTTTTCAGAGCATACGGATCTGAAAGCCCCAGCATGTCAACCTTATGATCTCTGCTTGTGCAATGGCATTTCAGGTTATTGCACAGAAGAGCACCATTGATGAGTTATGCTCCTGTGCCAGGCAGCATGATTTCAGCCTTCATAGAATCATAGAAAAGTGAAGTTGGAAGGGGCCTACAAGGAAAGCAAAGCCAGAATAATTTTTAAAGTAGGCAGATATCTGTGGATGGGTGTCACATTCCCAGGGGGTTTCAACAGGCAAAAGTTCAATAAGCCAGTCCAATATCAGAAGTCCAGAAAAGGCAAAGCAGATACCGTAGTCAGAAGTCAGAGTCCAAAGCCAAGGGTCCAGAGAACAAGTCCAAGATAAGCAGGAGCACGGAGGGGAGCCAGACTGTTGACTTGTTGCTTCTACAAACTTCTAAGCCTCTGGGTACAGATTTTATAGCAGCAGCAGTCATCTAAACACTTCATTCTGCTAAAACTCAGGGCTGGTCGACCTGATGCTCCTATGGGAAGCATTCATGTGAGCATCTGATCTTCATGTCATGAGTCCTTGCCGAAGCTTATCCCTCACTCTGATTACTGCAGGAGGAGAATCTGGTGGTGATTCAGCTGTCTGCGATTCTGATTGCCCAGCATTTTCCTCAGCTGTAATTAAACCCTCAGATTTCAGATCTTCTTCGGCTGAACTCATGACAATGGGATGACCATGACCATGCTGGCTGGGAGATTCTGGGAGTTGTAGTCCACCATAGTTATGGTGTCTGAAGCATTCATGTAGTCATAGTTCCCCATAATTTATTCATTTATTCATTTATTCATTTGGTGTCTGAGGCATTCATGTAGTCATAGTTCCCCATAATAACTGCTCTAAGCTCTCTCTGTAAAATCAAGCTTGCCCACAGCAGAGAAACTCCCCTTTTCTGCTTCTACTATATTCTCAAATAAAAAATTTCATATTTTCAGTGTTTTAGGAAAAGACTCACCAGCTGGAATTGCTGGGAAGTAGTTGCATCTAGCAAATGTTAGACCTGGCATTCATGTAGTCATAGTTCCCCATAATAACTGCTCTAAGCTCTCTCTGTAAAATCAAGCTTGCCCACAGCAGAGAAACTCCCCTTTTCTGCTTCTACTATATTCTCAAATAAAAAATTTCATATTTTCAGTGTTTTAGGAAAAGACTCACCAGCTGGAATTGCTGGGAAGTAGTTGCATCTAGCAAATGTTAGACCTGAGTCTAGATATGCCTCTCGATTTACATCAAGAGGTATGCCCGGACATATCCCTATGTAGACAGTGGATAATATATCCAAAAAACAACAAACTCTATGTTGGCAATTCCTGGGGAAGTGCTGGTGGAACTCAGTCCGGTACAGAGGATTCCTAATGGTGACACACTGCCTGTTGAACAGTGTTGCCAACGGGGGGAGTGTCACCTGGCACAGCAAAAAATTTATTCATCCAAAAATTCAGAATTGTGGTTTTAAAATCTGGGTTTTTTAATATTACATTTTTACTTTTATTGTATGTTTGGGTGGCTGTATAGGGTTTTTAAAAACTGGGTTTACCTTTTCCTCTTCTAGTGAAAATATTTTAAAGCTGCGATTATTTGATTTTTTAAATATCACATTTCATTGTTATATTTTATTCTGTTACTTTTTTTGCAGTCAGTCTAGCAACACACATTATTGACCAGCCTATTTCTTAACTATAATAAATAAAGCAATAATTATGTACATTGATTGCCTGATATTTTGTGTAGGAAATGAAGGATCCCAGGTTAGCACTGTTTACTTCTCTTTCCTCTTCCTTCCCCTCCTCCCTCATCCCTGTTTTGGTTTTTCTTCTTTACATTTTAATTTCAATTTAACTTTTGTAGGTCTGTGTGGTGGCCTTATTGGGACTACTGATGCTTTGTGTTTCTTACCAACCGGATGAAAAGACCTGCATCCAATTTGCTGTCAAGGTATGGTTTCTTTCATTTTGTCTCTTCTGTGTGGTACAGTTATTAATCTCACATGTCTCAGAAACTGGAGGATTGATTTCCAAAGCTCTGAGCATGTGGGCCATGGCTGGCTGCTCTGTGCTCGCTTCCCCTGAGGAACAGCAAAGCCAAAGTAATTTTTAAAGTAGGCACATATCTGTGGATGGGATATACAGATCAACAAATTCAGCTTCTTGCAGGGATACACTGTGTGGGATAAGGGTATGCAGCCACTGATTGTTACCAGACTGGGAGGTTTTGTGGAGTAAAGGAACAGGGAACAAATTCCAACGAAACACTCAAGCATAATATACAAGGGGAATCACGTAAGCTGTCCCAGCCAACTGTAGCTAATTGAGAAGATGTACAATAAGGCACGATCAGGCATGCAGTCAGGTATATAACCAACATCTTCTCAGTCAGATGCCACTGCTTCCAAGTGTTCTCTTGCAAGTAGATATTCAATAAGATTCTGGCCAGTGCCCCTGGCAAGTGTATAAATATTCAATAAGATTCTGGCCAGTGCCCCTTTTGTGCCTGTTACTCTATGGGGAGATATACTGTGTTTTTTCGTATATAAAACTACACTTTTTCTTAGAGGAAAATTGAGGGTCGTTTTATACATGGTAGTAAGGAGGGGGGAGGATCAAAGTGCTTTGATCCCTGCTTTCTCCCTGCACTTTTTGCAAAGAAAGTAGAGGGGGAAAACAGCCTTTTTGGAAAGAAAGTGGATGGGGAAAGCACTTTCCTCGCGAGAAAGTAGAGGGGGAAAGCAGCCTTTTTGGAAAAAAAGTGGATGGGGAAAGCACTTTCCTCGCGAGAAAGTAGAGGGGGGAAGTGATTCCTTCTTTCCCCCTCCATTTTCATGAGAGGAAAGTGCTTCCCCTCTCCTTTTTTTTTGCAAAAAGATGCTTTTCCCCTCGCAAAAAGTGGAGGGGGAAAGCAGGAATCAAAATGTTTTGATCCCTGCCCTCCCCCTCTACTTTCTTTGCAAAAAGCTGCTTTTCTCCTCCACTTTTAGTGAGGGGGAAAGCATCTTTTTGCAAAAAAAAAGTGGAGGGGAAGCACTTTCTTCCCAAGAAAGTGGAGGGGGAAAGCAGGAATCAAAATGTTTTGATCCCTGCCCTCCCCCTCTACTTTCTTGCATAGAAAAAAAATTTAGGTTAGAAAAGTGGGGGGCTTCTTATATATGGAGCATCTTATACATGGAAAAATAAGGCGATGTAGATTTATGGGAGGCCAATGGACAGCTTGTGCATTCCTAACAAGCCTTCTCCTCTTGCCTACCCATGTAGCAGAGGCTACATCTGAGATAACACAAAGCTTTAGCACCTGTGAAAAATTCTCAGCCGGATGTTATTGACTTTTCTAAATTCCACCTACATTCCTATCTAGTCCTGCTTGAAAAAGTGCTGGGCATGTCATGATTTGGACTGGAGACCTCCATTGGTGTAGCTGCTCCTCTGGGTTGAGAAGAGTGGGACATTATGGGTTAATCCATCTATGCCCTCCAAAATACGACACAGGTCCTTGGTTGGGAGACAGCCATCCTTAGCCTGATGATCCCGATGTTTCAGGGTTTGTCTAGCATAACAGAGGACATAATGAGGGGGCAGTTGAGGTGGATGGGGGATTTCATGGTGGAAGAACAGCAATTTTTTTTGTCCTGAAGTGGTGGCTCTGGCCAACAAGCTAAAGGACCTCCTCCACTACAGGTTTGCCTCCTTGTGGAAGAAGAAGTACATTGTAGCAACCTTCTTGGACCCTTGAATGCAATGGATATTAAGCTGGTGGGGAGAGAGAATACTAGTCAACTAGCACTGAGAGGGCCATACAGAGCAGGAAGAAACTAGCCATGTTCATAGCACCCCAGGCAGCAGAACCAGCAGTCATATTCTAGAGTCCAGGTTCCTCACGCCTGCAACAACAGAGCAAGCTTGCTAGGTCACTGTCTTGATAAGCATGGCAGGGGCCTGTCCTCCAGAGACACCAACCCAGTGGAAGGACATGGCAGAGGTAGTAGTGTTACATGCAGGAGCCCTGCAAGCCAAAGCAGACAGATCCCTTGGCTTACTGGGCTGAGAAAGAGTCTATCTGGGAAGGTCTGGCCAAGATAGCAGTGAGACTATTGTCTTGCCCTCCAACTAGTGCGCCCCAGTGAGAGACTGTTCTCTCAGGCAGGAGATCATATCAGTCCATGCTACTCATGCTTGGAACCTGGTTCTATAGAAAAACTTGCTTTCTTTCATGCCGACCTGCCATTGCTGGACTTTCCTGAAGTTGCCTTGAAGTAAGAGAGAATGGCATATTCTGCTCATATTACTAGGTATGCCATTTTTCACTCTGCTGCCTCCTCGTTCTGTCTCTTTCATTCTTTCCATTGTTACATTGAGACTGTGTCCACTCACTCCACTGTGCTGTGTCCCATGCTCTTAGAACAGTTCCCACCACTTCAGGCTTATCTGCTGTTCCAGTCTGCCTCCCATTGTCACCCAAGTGTGACCTTTCCTCTGCTTCCCAAATGCTGCCGCCATTTCTGGCATTCTCTCTGTTTAGGGTTCAATCAGTATGCCCATTACATTTCCTAATATTTAGCCAATACTGGCTGTTGGTATGCACACTTTTTCTCTGGCACAGTGACTGGGAAGGTGTCAAGGACACAGGTAAATCCCTTTAAACGTTTTGCCTGTTTATGGTTTTTTAAAGGGGGGGGTGCATATAGTAATAACTATATAGTGTTCAGTTCCTTCACGGATTGCAGCCTTGTCATGGCGAAGGGGTTTGAGTAATTCAGAGAAGGTATGGGCTATGCTGTGCAGGTATACCCAAGAGAGACAGGTCATAGTGGAGAGTTCTGACTAAACACGATCCACCTGGAGCAGGAACTGGCAAGCTACTCCAGTATCTTTGGCAAGAAAACTCCATGAACAGAAACAAAAGGCTAAAAGATATGACGCTGGATGATGAGGCCCTCAGGTCAGAAGGCATCCAACATGCTACTGAGGAATAGCAGAGGACAAGTACAAGTAGCTCCATAGCTAATGAAGTGGTTGGGCCAAAGCCGAAAGGAAGTGCCGCAGAAGTGAAAGGAAAGTCCGAAGCTGCAAAGAAAATACTGCATAGGAACCTGGAATGTAAGATCTATGAACCTTGGTAAGCTGGATGTGGTCAAACAGGAGATGGCAAGAATAAACATTGACATCCTGGGCATCAGTGAACTAAAATGGACAGGAATGGGCGAATTCAATTCAGTTGATTATCATATCTATTATTTTAGGAAAGAATCCCATAGAAGAAATGGAGTAGCCCTCATAGTCAACAAAAGAGTGGGAAAAGCTATACTGGGATTTAAAATTAACCAATCCTATGAAGACTTACAGCACCTTGTAGAACTGACACCAAAGAAAGATGTTCTCATTATGGAATGCTAAAGCAGGGAATCAAGAGATAACAGGAACAACTAGTAAGTTTGGCCTTGGACTTCAAAAAGAAGCATGTGTAGGCATCCTTCAGTCTCGAGAGACTGTGGTAACGTGCTTTGTATGGAGGATGTGGAACAGCGTCTAGTGTGGCTGAGAAGGCCAATTCGAAAGTGACAATCCCTTCCACACTGAAGACAAATACAATCTGTCCCCTGTCCAGCTCCCTGATTTTGCTTTGAAATTGTATGTGAAGCTATAGTGTCCTCTCCAGAGCATGAAGCCTGGGTAAAATAATATGGAGGATAGGCTGTTAGCCAAGCAGCAAATCCCCCCTCTCCACATCTCCTAAATCAGTGGTTCTTAACCTAGGGTTACTCAGGTGTTTTTGAACTGCAACTCCCAGAACCCCCGGCCAGCACAGCTGGTGGTGAAGGCTTCTGGGAGTTGCAGTCCAAAAACACCTGAGTAACCCAAGGTTAAGAACCACTGGCCTAAATAGTCCAATGGAAAGGCAAGAGCCAATACAACTGGCTCCAGCGATGTTGCAGGAGTTGCCAGAATGACACGAACTGCCTCCAGGACTCCGGCTCTGGATTTTGCCTCAAGGTTAACTCCTTAAGTCTTTTCCATCAGTGGATGTAGCCACAAGGCAGTGGAGTTTTCCTTCTCTTAGATGGGCTGCCTTCCAAGGCTGACGAGCCCCACCTACCCGGCCTGCTCCCTAATAGTGCAGAAGTATGATCCTACCCCTAAAACTTTCCTGCCCCCCCCCAGGTGTATGCAATGCTATTTAGCTTTCCTATTTACCAGATTAGAATCAAAAATAGAACCCGGCTTCTGCTTAAACATATTTACAGCTAAAACCCCGCCCCCTCGGACCATGCAGTCAGGGAGAACAAAAGTCAGCCTAGAAGAAAACACCTAAACAAATAAAATGTCCCCCCAAGCACAGCTCACCTCCTTCCTCAGCTTCCTCCTCAGGAAAAACGAAGCAGGGCAAAGGCCAATAGAGTTTTGTCAAGATAACAAGCTGGTCATCACAAACACTATTTTCCAACAACACAAGAAGTGACTCTACACATGGATATCACCAGATGGGCAATACCGAAACCAGATTGATGATGTTCTCTGCAGCCAAAGATGGAGAAGCTCTGTACAGTTAGCAAAAACAAGACCTGGAACAAACGTATCCTGAAGGTGAGGCTCCAATACTTTGGCCATCTCATGGGATGAGATGACTCCCTGGAAATGATGCTGAAGTTGGGAAAGTGTGAAGGCAAGAGGAAAAAAGCCACCCAGAGACCTTTGAGTAGTGTGGGCGATTTATTCATTTATTCATTTATTCATTTATTCATTTTATTTGTTCGATTTATATCCCGCCCATCTGGTATATTCTACTACTCTGGGTGGCTTACAGAATATCAAAAACAATTAAAAAACATAAAAACATTAGCATACAACAATAACAAATAGTGCAGGAATAAATAAATAATAAATAGCAAAGCAAAGAAATCAGTAGTTGACAGGAGGGAAGGCCTGGATGTACATCCATGTTTTCAG